GCAACGAGATAAAATTCGTTTACCACCTTGACCGGTACAAATTTAAGATCAGGATAAAGAGCGATGAGAACAGCCGCGTAGGAAAAGCCGCTCAACCGGACGATTACGACCAAAGCGACCAGAACAAGAAGCAGGACGAAGCACTGGAGATGCACAGAGCGTTCACGCGGAAGAAATTCGCAGCACGGATCGCTGTGAACAACCAAAACATGGCTGAAATAAAAATGTATGAAATATCAAATCTTCTAAATTATTTGACCATTTCGATCCTCGGGGACAAGCTGGGCAAGTACGGCATCAAGGGGGCCTTTGAGACTGTCCGCGACCGGTCAGTGCTGTCCTTTATGTTCTACAATCTGAACATAAAGGTGGTCTACGATGGAAAGCTGAGCATCCAGTGCACCAACACGCTGCTCGTCGATCTCCTGAAGCGCTGTCTCACGGTAGATCTCATAAGCCACCTGCGTGCCCTCAAACTGGTGCTCAAAGAGAATCTCGTGCCAATCTCCTTCAACAGCAATTACCTGCTGTTCAAGTACGGCAAAAGGATCGTTTTCAAATACTACGGCGAGCGGTACTACTGCGCACTTAACGGCGGCTACAAAATAGTTGACGAGAAAATCGTGAGCAGGATGAAAAACATGGAGATTGGATGCAAGATGGACAAGATATGGAAATGCTTGCACGCGTACGGGAAAAGAATCGGAAAACACACGTACACGTGGGACGATGCTGAGGATGCGGCCGAGGAGTGTGCGTTTGTATTTGTGACCGAGGTTGGAGAGTTTCGGGTGTACAAGCAGCGGAAAAACATAATCCTGAGATTCACACGCTGTGAACTGAAGGACGAGCAGAAAATTATTTTAGAGAAATTGTTTTACAACATTTTTAATTTTGAAAATTACTTTACGAAGTACATGGACGTGCTGGTTCACAGGAGCAAGGCTGTAAATGTTATTGAGAACCTGAGCAACGCGTAGATAGCTGGGCTAAGGCACATTAAAGATCACACAGAAAGTTTTCATTAAAGGACTGTTTTATTGTTCAGCTGTCGTTATGGCACGGTATGCCACCAGCACTTAACTATGAAACTGCCAATTTCAAGAGCGGCCTTGTCTACGTAGCCGTGCTACGTCCCTAATAAAGCATCGCACATTTTTTGAATTGAACAGATTTTATCCATCAAACATTGTTAGCTCGTCGTTCATCCTGTCATTACACCATAAAACATCGTAAAATGTTCCTTTCCTCTTACGTACCACAGTTTATTACGGTGTATTTATTTTTAGTTAAAACGTAATTTTAACTTTAAGCCCGTCGTATTTCCCGATTTACATGCGTAGCTCATACTAATTAATAAAAAATGTTCATTTTTAAATTATTTATGATTGTAGTATTTCAATTGCAGGTTGTTCCTTTTTTGATCTAAAACGTTCATTTTAGAAAGAGATGATACATCCCTCATCTTGTACCTTTCATTTAGTCTTTGTTCGTAGATTGTTCTGTTATTTATTTAGAGAGTGTCTTTA